CGATGTCCCAGTCTGTTCGACTCTGCACAAGACTGCGTGCCAACAAAAACAAAAAAAAAAAAAAAACAGAAAGGGTCACGAAACGAAGGCGAACCCTTGCCGGTGTTTTGTTTTCCCATTCCCAGTCCCAGTCCCACTGGCGATATAGAGCAGAAGATAAAAGGCTTAGCTTGGTCGGGAACAAAGCGCAAATCAAGACACACGTGACTGCGACTGTTGACGCTTTTACGTACGCTCTGAAGAGGATCTGCTCGTACTTGATGGCTGTTTGTTTCATGATGATTATGTTCTGGCTGCTAAAATTGTTGGCGTTGACATGCAACAGGCAACCGGCAACAAGCGACCGGCAACAAGCGACCGCCAACTAGCGAGCAACAACCGTCCGTAACTGGGAGCGACAAATTAAATAAAGCACGAAAAATATGTGGAAACACAAAAAAAAGAACAAAAAATAAAACAACAACTGAAGCCATGGCTAAAACAAAAGGGCCTATGAAAAAAGGCTGGAAAGATGAAAAGAGATTGCTGTTGTTGTCTGTTGTTATTGAGGTGGGCATGACGGTCACGCTGCCTGAACGAAATTGCACGGAAGTGTATTGACTGACTAACTGAGTGACTGAGTGACTGACTGCTTGACTGCTTGGCTGGTTGACTGGCTGAGTGGCTGACTGGCACGGATGCCCTGACAGATCGATCAGAATAGAGTTGAACGGAGTTAAAGTTGAAGGTTTGTTGTTGATTTTTCTTTTTATTTCTATTTTTATTTGGCGCGTTGCTGAAGCGTTGAAAGCAATGCCCAACAATGGCCATTGTCGTCATCAATGTTGTTGTTGTTGTTGTCCGACATTGCAGTCGGGCGAGCGCGACTTTGGCATCCAGGGCTTGGGCGCCCATTTGCCGAACGCTTCGTGGTCGTGTCTGTTAAACGAGCCTAATTATTAGTTTACTACCAATTTCGCTAAGGCTTGCCCCGATCTGGGGCTGCCAGCATGTTAACAGCATGTACAACAAGTCATGAGCATGCCACAGCAACCACACAACAACAACAACAACAACAACAAGAAGAACAGCAATCGACGATCTCCCGATGGCCGTCGCCTTCACCGCTGACTTGAAGGGTTAATTTGCGCTGCTGCTGGAGGATGCAAGGCATGTACGATCATGTACGATCTCTGGCTGGGTTTGTTTTGTAAAATGTGTAATTTCTGTAAATTGATTTAATTGCCGCCATTAAAAGTGGCCCGGCCTCAGAGACAGATGTGTAAGCGACACAAGTGGCAGCAGCGTTTGCCTTTGCTTCACCGTTTTGCGAAAGCGACACGCAACCGATCCAATTGTATTTGCCATTTTGGGCAGCTGCTGTATCTCTGGGCGATAACAACCAGTTCGGCCACCGAACGCTCATATTTGATTGCCCACCCGTGCTCACTTTTCCCAATTGTCTCTCGAGCCATCGCGTGCAGTTCAATTGCAGTCCAACTTACTTATATCCAACTTACATATATCGACTCAACAGCCCGAGGATGTGGCGATGGCGATGGCGAAGGCGAAGGGGCAGGCGCAGGCGCAGCCGTTGCCATTCTGCCATTTTCGCCTGCCTGTTTGAAGCGTGAACAATGTAATGCGAGTTGGCCGGAATGTCCGCCTGTCTGGCATTTGACGCAGTTGCAGTTGCCGCTTTAGAGCGTAACATCATTTAGAAACCAATGTGGACAGGCTTCGCGGCTCTATCCGAGAATGCTCAAATAATGTACCGAAAGGTAAAGAAAATGTGAAGGAAAGTTTTCCAAATATGCGAAAAAACACGGGTTGAGTTATACGTAGAGCACAAGTATTTTGAACAACAAGACTAATCTTCAAACAAGTTTGTTTTTTAGACTAGTCTTAGCCTGACCCTTCACAGATATAAATAGATTACTACTCTTAAACAAATGAAACTTATTCTAACCCATTACAGATTGTAAACATATAGTAAGAATGAGCAGCAAAAGGCATTAATGGATTGTAAGAATGCAGGAGCTCTAAGACTGCATATAGCGCTATATTATGGTGGTTCGTCCTTTCTCCTTGCATTTAAGCAAACAGGCACATAGAGCAACACCATATGACTTTATCGACTTTATTTAAAAAACGTGGTTATGAAAAAACTATTTTTAAATCGCAGTGTTTCAAAAATCAGTTGCCATTAAAGTTACTTTTGATTAATTGTTGAGTTCTATTTTCTGATATTTGTTTTTGTCGCGAATGTTTAGCATAAAAATATAGCAATGTTTTTGATGTTCTGGGTTGGATATGGGCTGTTACCTTTGAAAAATGTTTAAATACATAATTTAAGTAATTTCTTGATAATGTTTTTAAGAAATAAATCATACTCTAATGTTGATTACAAAAATAAAATGATCAACTTTCTACAACAAAAATGATCCATGATCCAGCGCTATTTAGTACCTTCACTACAAAAATGGTTTTTGATGTATAGTCTTATAGACTTGTATTTGAAATATTTAAAGAAAATAGGTTTGAATATTATGCTGCGGCTGTGATATTTTAAAGGAAAATAAACTGGAGCACCAGTTATGGATTAATACAAAAGATCACTTTAGGTTTCCAACGAAAACTGGTGTTTCGGATATTATTTGATCAACAAATGCCTTTAGAGAAAGGTATTTATCGACATTTCATTATTTTGATTCTTTAACAAAACTAGCAATCCATGTGCTTGATTTATTTTAATAATGAGCACTGGGTGTTTAAATAATAATAACACAAGTTTCTTATAACAAACACTTAATTGCAAGAGATATGTAATACGAAAACTCTTCCAGTATTTTGTTTAATGTTGAATAATGAATTAACAATGATGAGAGCAGAATGTTCAGAAAGAGGCGCATTTGCTTTTATCATAAGTATATAGGATTTATACTTATTGGGCACAAAAAGAATGCTAGAGTCAAACATTCTAAATGCAATTTAATACTTTACCAAATTAAGTGAAAAGAATAAATCAAAAAGTATACACTTGACTTGATGAAACATTATTGATTTAAAATATACATACAAGTATATACTTTCTTTTTTTACTTCCTGGGACGCACCACGCCTTACCTAGCCCTCGCTAAATACAGAGGCTTGTGTTAAGCGCAATCGTGTTAAACGACACATGGACTCCTTACGAAATATGGATAATATAAAATATAAAATATAATTTCACTGTTAAAATTTGCACTGTTTTTAAAGTGATGAAGATGTTTGAAATTAGCAAAAAGTTTCTTCAAGTGTTAAATATTTAACATTATACATTATTATAAAGGCAAAAAAAATTTAGATCCGTTGGGTGGCAATTAGAATCAAAGCCCTTTATATATTAAACATGTTTTTTGTGATGCTCCTTTTGTGGCTTCTAAAGCCTCTTTGTAGTATGCCTCTGATAAGGTAACAATATTCTCTCCAACTCTATCTTAAACTTTATTGCTCTTTTGATGAGCGGTTTAGAATTTACGATTCCAAGCTGCTAGAATATGCGAGTCATTCTTAATGTTTTTCTATATTTAAAGTTTTTATAGGTTCCTCGAATCATTCTAAATTCCAATATTTCACGAAGCTCACATTGTGACAATTGTATTTTGAGGTAATAGTTTCATCCAACATCAGTTGACTTCTGAAGCTCTTTCAAAAATTAAATTACTAGTGCGATTCTTCTCGCCTCGGGTAGCTCAAATATTTGTCCAACACCAAAATCCCTTTATAGTAAAATTATTCTTTTTATAGCCTGTACCCAAAGGGTGAAAGGCTATACTAATTTTGTGCGAATGTATGTAACACACAGAAGGAGGATCAGGATTAGGATCAGGATGTCAAGACTAGTCGATATAGCCATGTCCGTCTGTCCGTCCATCCGTCCGTCCGTCTGTCTGTATGAGCGCAAGAATCTCAGCAACTACAATAGCTAGGATAACCAAACTTAATATATAGCTTCCCCTAAGCACTAGGCAGATCGACTTTGTGTTTTTTATTTTTTCTTTTTTATTATCGTACCCATTCACCCTTTGGGTACAGGCCATCCAAGGTCGATAAGTGTTGGCTGTTGCCATACTATTCAAGCGAAAATTTGAGAAATCGTTTTAATATAGTAATGTGGGATGCGACTTAACAATTATTTTGTTGATGGCTTATTAATCTAGCGTCGCCATTAGCTGTTGGGTTTGCTCGAGTCATATTGTGATCGAACCAACCCGCAAATTAAACCAAAACTTAGCTGTGTTTGTGAGCCAGGTTGTCGAGTGAGGCGGTCGGTGACGGCAACGCCAATGAATGCTGCTCAAAAAGTACGAGCATTAAAAAAATATGAAAAATAAAATGAAACGCTTCTCCATGATTAGCGAGCGAGATGAATGTAATTATGGCTAATAATACAGCTAGCGGCAAACTTTTGACTAAAACTGACAGCAAAACGGCCACAAAACGCTCGCTGGCACTCGCTCGGATAGTCACTCAGATAGCTAGAGCCAGGTGCCTGGGCGACAACCAGCAACAACAACAGCAACAACAGCAACAACACTGAGCCAAGCCGAACGCATTAATCTTGGCTTGAATGCCGCACATTTTGTTTTCTATTGGGCATTCAATGGTCGGTCGTCTGGCCTTTTCGACTTTTCCATGGCAATGCAAACGAAATGAAAATGAATTGAACGCCGACGGCATTTATTGTGCACGACTTTTCTGCAATTGCCCGCCGATCGCCGATCGCCGATCGCGGATCAATCGACAAATGGCGATCGCCGATCGCCGCGCATTTGTTTGTGCATATTTCTTGCCATATTTAATTTATTGTTTGCTTAATGTGCTGGTGTGTTGTTAATGCCCATTCAGTATTTGTTTTTGTTTGTAGTTATTCGCTGTTGTTGCTGTTGTTGTTGTTGTTGTTGTTGTTTTGGATAATAATGGTGGTCTACAGGGTGCTGCACTCGCATAATACGTTGTACGTTCTGCTTTCTCGTCAGATTAGTGTCCAGCTTCGTCCAGTCGTCCAAGCTGTGCGGCCGCATACCGGGCCTTACCCCTCCGCAGCGGCAACTGTGCGGCGAGACACCCGACGCCCTCATCGCCTTGGGAGAGGGCTACCAGCTGGGCGCCCATGAGTGCCAGTACCAGTTTCGGGGTCATCGCTGGAACTGCACGCAGGTGTGGCAACGCAATGTGTTCGCCCATGTCATGCACATAGGTGAGTGACTCGATATCCCCTCCTCTGCACCGAATACCAATCCGCAATCCCCTCCATCTAATTGAAGCTTCCCGCGAGGCAGCCTATGCCTATGCCATAGCCAGTGCCGGAGCCGCCTATGCCGTAACCGCGGCCTGTGCCCGCGGCAACATCACCATGTGCGGCTGCGATGTGCGCCACAAGGCGGCCGAGACGACTGCCTCGACGAAGGTGGCGGCGGCTGGAGGGGCCAGCCAACCTGCCGAGCCCTGGAAATGGGGCGGCTGCTCGGCAGATGTCGACTTCGGCATGCGGTTTGCCCGCAAATTCATGGATGCACGCGAGCTGGAGCACGATGCGCGCTCGCTTATGAATTTGCATAACAACCGCGCTGGGCGAACGGTGCGTATACGTGGCTTTAACCCCGCTTGATTTATGTACTTATTTCCGCACTAAATTGCAAAACCACACAGTCTTGATTTACAACATACATTTTTTCCATTTTATAGAAGTAACTATCAAAGACGCTTTATTGATTTTAATAATATTGCAGGCATGTGAAGCATTGAATCATATTTATTATCTGATTAGCAAGTTTGACAAATACGTGTACATATAACATATTTTTAGTTCTTATTTACAATACAAGTGAGTCGGAACTGATTGAAGGAGTAGAAAATGTCTGTGAGACTTTTTTTTCCTAAAGAAATTAAAGCGCTTCTTCCGCCGTGGTGGCTCAACACTTAGTTAGTAGTGTAGTGTACTATATTAATTTATTTTATTTATGTCAACAAACATTGACTGTCGACATAAGAGGAAAATATATAAAAATTTTAAAAAGAATCTTATAAGCTAGAAAAGCCTAAGAAGGAGAAATCTAATCAAATTACAATAATATCTAATTAACGCCTCCGACCCGGTGGGAGAATATTATTTGCCCTTCGGCTAGCTGTGCCCCGTCCCACAGTCAAGTGTGGTCAGAGGCGTCAATAGATCTGCCGGTATATAAAAAAAAACTTAACAGAGAAAAGAAGATTAGCTAATTTAAAAAAAAAGAAGGAATTTCAGACCCCGAATGTTGGAAAATACAGAAATACACACAATAATTTAATTTGGGGGTGTTTTTCAATCATTTCTATTGTCTCAAAAATAAAAATTCAGTTTCTTAAAGCTCTTTGAAAATGTTATTAATACTTCTTCTTGTCTATCATTCAATAAATCCGCAGCTTAACAGCTTCATTGGATTTTCTAATATTAAGCTTCCAAGACAAGAAAATTATAGTGTGCTAATTGATTGTGGGGAAAAGGACATACTATATAGAATATATATGGCATTTGTATTATGCTTGCAGCAAGCACACTTTAGTTATTCCTAGTTTCCAAACAATGTATTTTTGTAGTTACTTTATTTCAGTAAGATTGTAAATAAAACAAACCGAAACTGCTCTTGATTATGTCCTCTAAAATGATTAAATAATTATTATTTTGTGCATAATGGCGAACAGTATTCAGAGTATTCACGCAAATTAATTCAAGATCTTCCTCATAACTACGAGAGGTTACTGATACTACTTGCTGGGACCGACCAGGAGACTCCAACTTATTATTCTTCGATCGTTACTGAGTTCATCTGCCCAAGAGTCGTCTTCAATTAACTGTTCTCATCAATAGTTGTGTTCTTAGCCAGCTCCTAAGCTAACTCAATTACCTAAAAATCCAATCTATGTTCAACAATGATTTAATTGAAATGAACCCTTTGCTTCTATAAATTAGAGCGTCTCTTAATGGAAATACTTGCCATGATTTGTTCGACGAGCATATTGGAAACAAATACTTCATTTAGCATGTTAGCCCAAGTTAAATTAAATCGTACGAGTAGAGTTACTTCTATAACAGCATTTACGAACCTTTGAAAAGTTGAAATGACTAGAAATAGTATTTCCACTCGCGTGTATAAAGACTTACCTATAATCAATGTTTCATAATGCAATTTCCAAAAATTTGACCTGTATGTTGGAATCAGGAAATAAGCACTACTTCAATTGTTTTCTTGTCGCGCCTTTTGCAGTTCCAGAAACTTTATCCATTGAAATAATGTTAGGGTATTTTAACGCTTCTTCGACTATTACAGTTAGTGAAGAAGCTGCTGCGCACAGACTGTAAGTGTCACGGCGTGAGCGGCTCGTGCGTCATGAAGACCTGCTGGAAAAGTCTGCCGCCCTTTCGTTTGATCGGCGACAGGCTGATGCAGAAATATCACAAAGCCAAAACTGTTCATGCCATCAGAGGCAAACGTGGACTGAAATTAGTATTAAGCAGGTGAGAGTTACGCGATTTGTCCCAAGCGCAAGACTAAGCTTTATATCTATACCCTTTCTCTCTTTACACAGAAGGAAGCATGCGGCCCAGAAATCACAGCCGTCGTGGCCGAAGCGGATGGAGCTCGTCTATTTGCAGCCATCGCCCAACTACTGTGAGCGCAGCGTCCAGATGGGCACTCTGGGCACTGTGGGTCGACTGTGCAATCACACCGCCCATGGACCCCAGAGCTGTGATCTGCTGTGCTGTGGGCGTGGCTACAACACCCAGCAGATACGGCGCAGTCGACAGTGCCGTTGTCAGTTCCGCTGGTGCTGTCAGGTGGAGTGCGATGCCTGCGAGGAGAGCTACGAGGAGTTCACTTGTAAATAGTTGAATTTATGCGATGCTTAAGGATGACAACTGTTGGTAGTTTAGTGTTACACATAGCGACATAATTAAGTATTATCAATTACGATCATACTTGTATTACAAAGGCAAACAAAAATCAATACACAAACAAAAATCATTCCAAAATAAAAGTTATAAAAATCGACGAATCTGGGAATCATTTTTACAGATTGGTGTCAATACTAAGCTTCAAATCATCGATTTCAAACAAATTTAGGTGGGTTTCTTATCTCCAAAAAGTGAAAAATAATGAATATTTTAACCCTACTCTCACATGCACGAAACATCTCTTTAGACAGGTTGGCTTGGTGTTACTTCTTCTCCTCTCGATGTACCTCCTCTTGGTGTTGCAGCATCAGGAGGAAGGCATGGCTCATCATGGAAGTCATTGACAGACCTCTCAATTCCTCAGCTTTGACTCTTTCCACCTCGGGTATAACTTGGTAATAAAGAGCAACAAAGGTACTTGAGAAATCTTGTATGCATATAATGAGTAATTTATATTTCCAATAAGTATTAAGTATAATTCGTTTAAAAAAGTTGAATTAAAGAACGGGTGGAGCTTTTATATTTTTCGAAATTCAGTCACAAATACAGGCATACTCTAATATTGCTAGTTCAGATGTTGTCGTCAAATAAAAAGAACTACTCGGCTGAGTTTTCTTTTTTAGTACAAACGTTTTTTAATAAGGAATATACTTTTATTTATTTTGTCAGTTCTTCGTTTTTGCGATAAGACTGGACTGTCACGCATTTCCACTGCCATAGCGAGGCAGACTAGATTTGATTGCCTATTGTATATAGCCAGCAGTGCTGTCCAGCGGTAGACTAAGGAAAAAAAAAGGAATACTTTTTGATTTCCGAAGTCAACTATGAATCAATCAAAATTATATTTTATGTTGTTTCGGTGGTGTACTACATATTCGGAATTTTGAGTTGTACTTCTCTAGTTCGTACGTGTTTTTTCGAAACTTATATTTCCAAAAACAGTAATACCTTAACCCATTAACGCAAGGTAATGCCATGTTGATAAAATATAGATTCAATTTTCAATCGGATTCCCAACTGCTCCAACTAAGGCTGGCCCTTATATTAGAGTAAAGAAATGTACCTTGTTTCTTAATAATATATTATTTTCTAGCTCTTCGATTTACTTAACTTACTTTTTTTGTAGTGGCGTACGATTATATATAATGTATGTATATAACTAAACATTCTTTGTGCTTATGCAATCTGAAGTTGCAGTTTTGAGAAAAAACGTAGTGCATTATTTACAGTAGACAGTAGCCCATGTTTAAGGATAGGTAATATTTGAAGGAAAACCACATAACAGCAGCAATATAATTTTTGTGTATGAAATTAAATACGCTCAACATTAAAGTGTTAATTGTATTACAAACCCAACAATTTTATCCTTCTAATAATGAAAAGAAAAGTAATCAATAATGATAATAGAATTTCAGCATTTTAATGTATTGCATAAATCAAGATTGGGGAAGTTCGTAGCATACTTTTAGGCAGCAGTGACCAATTCAAATTCAAAGAGCACAGCATTGCCAGCTTCAACCAAGCTACGATACAAAATGCCGCTTCAATAAATTTCCAGTGTTAACAGTGCCGTGCCATTATCGTAATGTAACAGCCGCGAAATACAATTGCGTCGGCGGAGACGAAATGTGCATTTCATTTATTTTGGTATTGGAATTTTCATTTAGTTTGCGAAATCAACTGAAATGCCCGCACACTCTCTCACACATACACACACACACCACACATTCACAGATAGAGTGACAGAAAGAGCGTTTTGGGCTTTTGGCCTAAACTGCGCGAGCGCCAGCAAAATTCATTGATTGTAATCGGGCAGGCAGAGGCCGTCGCTCACAACGTGTGCCCCTCTCCCCCCGCCGGGAGCCTTTCACATGTCGTTAACTATTCGCGACCAAAACTCACCACTGTCGCGATGCGTTGGCCCGACTATAACAGCGACTGTCACAAACGAGCGGCGCTCAGTTCTTTGAGGGTAGTTAGTTGGATAACGGCGTTGCCAAAAAACGGGCCCAGAGCTGCCGCACAATTTTTTGGGTTAGATTATACACATACACACACACAAACACACATTCACACACTATCTGACTGACAGAGAAATACACACAGAGTGAAATCTATATGTATGTATATGTATTTTTCAAACTGCTGCTTCAGTAACTGCTACTGAGGCAGCAGAGGCTGAGAAATGTATATGTGCGGAAAAAAAGCAATTTAATTGCTGTAGAAAAAATATATAGATTCGCGTCCACAGTAGAGTTCGCGCGTGTGTGTGGTACAAGGAGAAAAAATGTGTATAAAAAATAAGTAAGCCAATAATTAACAACGAGCTAAAAGTGATGGCTGAAGAAAACAGAAACTCCGATACATGCATGAAGTCGTATACGCGTTTTCGCTATAATAGCGCGTGTGTATGTATGCGTGCGACGCTGCCCGTGTAGTAGAAATTGTGCTAAAGGCTGCTCCCTGGATACAGAAAAGTGATTTCCTGCAAAAAAAAGTGTTCAAGTGTGCCTAACAAAAAGTCCTTTAATGGTTGCTAGCTAGAGCAGCCTCAATGTTGAATAAAAATTGTTTAATTCAAAACTAAAACCGCTACAACTAAACACACCTTCGCCCATATATACATATACTTGTATGTACACACACACCATCATAAGAGTGTAATAAATTTTTAGCGATGCGTAAATTTGTTCAACTAAACGCTACATATCGATTGGTGAAAAAATTATTATAAATTGCTTCAACCTACATATAAGTCGTGCGAGATACATATACATACACACACACACACACATGGAAACACTCACGCGCTCATACATTAAGTTTGAAAAGCTATAAGCTGTATGGTGGAGCTGTGCTTAAAGGAGTGGTGAGGAGGAGGCCAGGCGCGGGCACAATGCAGCCTGGAGTCGCGCGCAGTTGCGGGCTGGATGGAGCCGATGGGTGGCAGTGTGGGTCAGGCAACATTATGTTGCTGCCCCTCCCGCTCGCGCTTCTCTGATGTCGTTAGCTGCTCGTTCGGCAGTCCGTTGGCTCGTTCGTGCCTCGTGCCTCGTGCTCGTGCGTAACTCGTGCCAGCGCCTAAAACTCTGCAACTCCATGCAGCAGTCTGAGGCAGGATTGAGCAATCCGCGCGTGAGTTTGTGTGAGTGCGTGTGTGTTTCTGTGTGTGTGTGTGTGTGTGTGGGTGCTTCGTGCATACGTCAAATGTGTGTCAGTAGCTTTTCGGGAAGCACTCTAGGGCTCGGGATACTCCAACGCCAATGAACGTAAAGCCGTCGTTAGGCACGAAACACTCGAGCCCACGCGTCTTATGTGCCCCACGCGTCGTATTCTATAAAACAATGAATATTTATAATTAGTTTAAAAAAGGGTTAATTAATCCACAACAATAACAATCTTGCTTTGTTTTCCACACGCCAGCCATGTACATAATTACTCATTAAATTAGCAGCAGCAGCAGCATTAATTAATTAATTCAAACGAAATTAGCCGACAACCTGAACGCGAGTTAGAAATTGTGAATACGAGTATGTGCATTGAAATTCAAAAGGCATAAGCATATTAAGCAAAACGTGCAGCATTGGACGAAATTCTTATAATAAATAGAACAACAACAATAGCAATACTTAGCAGCAGCAGCAGCAGCAACAAGCATAGCATACTTTTTTGGCCACCGGAAACGGAAATGCACAGAGCGCCGCCAACGACGCCCTCTACGAGCAACAACAACAACAACGGCACCGCTATCTGCCACACACACATGTAGCCCACCTGCAAGTGTGGCTGTGTGCCTGTCTGTGCGTGTGTGTGTGTGTGCGAGTGGAGAAGCATTTAAAATTCCTGCAAAAAACAAATTGTTGCCTCGCGCCGGAAGCGCTCACCATTAAACAAATCGGGCTACCAACCGACCAACCGGCCAGCCAAACAGTCGACCGCTAGCCCGAACTCTTGGGCTTTTGGACCGGTGCCAGGACAGGCTAGAAGCAGCAAATCATTTCCACTCGCCCAGTCGATAAGAAAATCATTCAAAATTCATCGTCTAAGCAAAGCGGGTGAGCATGCCAGCATTTGAAAATGCAAATACAGACGCACCATTAATTAAGCCGCACACACGCACACAACCTGATACATAAGACATTTAAAATATTTATTTATATGTATGTATGTATGTATGTATATACCTGTGATGGCATCTATATATTGTATGTGAATGGTAAATCAAATTGATCTCTACATGTGTACTCGTACGTATGTATGTTTTGTGTAGTACGTAATCCTACTGTGCGTTCAACTATTCGAATGCAGCAACTTTTTTCTCATATACTCGTAAACATTTACGACCCGTAATTGTCAATACTGAGTACGGCAGACCGGTACTTGGGTATGTCTTGTATCTTATGTATGCATTTGTTATGTATTGTGAATGTAACTAATTTTAATCCTTGAGTTCGTCCTTATTTTTAATTGACTTTATCTAGAACTAATGCGTCGAACGACCAATCTGTACTCTAGTCCTTACAAATTGTTTTCAAGAATTGACAGTAAAATATTGTCAGGCGGGCATGCTCGAAATTCCGCAAGACCTTTTTATTTCTAGACTCTCAACAGCATGGCCCATTCAATTAGATTCAAATATACCAGCTTGAATAAGTTCAATAAATAGGTGAAATAATGTAAGTGCACAATAAAAGTGCTTTTGTAAAGTAAATTTTTGAGCATATTCGTATTTTGCAAAAAGTAATTAATAATAGATTTTATTCTACTTCATTATTAATTAAGCTTATAACTTAAAGGTTATAAATACTCTTAAATAATTATTCTATTCTATTCTGTTGTCAGTCTGTTTTTCTGTTTGAATTTCACTGAGAAGTGTGCGGTCGAGAATTGTTTGTAGTGTCTAAGTTTGTAAGGAAGCATCGTATACCAGATTTGACAGGCACATATAGTATTATATAGTATGATCAGAAAGATGAGACGAATGCTAATCTTGACCTCCGTTACTTCGACAGTCTATCAGTCTACTAATCCTTTTGATATATAGATTGATAAAGCCAGATCACCACATAGAACAACTGTAATAGAAACGATGTGATTTAGGATTCGGGTTTCCAAAATATTGCAAATGTTCAGAATATAGAACATATTCAGAGAATTTTGTATACAGCTTCCGCGCAGACAAAGAAACGTTTTCTGCCCATTTTCTTATTTTTGTATTGCATATGTAAGAGATTTTTCTATAGTATTCCCTTAAATGTTGATTTAAATACTACTGAATGAGAATGTAATCTATTTTGTTTTAGTGTTTTGTTAAAGCTATTTGCTTAAGCCTAAAAAATATGAGCTAGAGTTCAGAGAACTGATGGTGTTACCAGAAACCATAAAACCAATAATACCATGGTGATACGTTTATTTATGATTACTAAGTATGTGCGCATAAGCTGCTCTACATTTTAAAAATTATAAGTTCAAATAATTAAATATGATTACTCCTTCATCTCAAAATATAAGTACATACTTTATATTTAAAAACTATTGTAAAGTGTAGTTGACTTATCATTTCTTTAGCGGAATAAGATAATATAAGATGTAGAATTCATCCTCAAGTTTGTTGAATCTATAGAGCATTTATAATACTTATACGACCTGCATACGCTTTGAAATCTTTTTTTTCTTCAAATATTTAAGATGAATCGATTTTAATTCACTTTTTTGTATTATATTTGCTGAAAAATAATATTTTTATTCGGGCCTCAATTTTGTTTTGATGTGTAAGCAGTTTTCGGATTACATTGCAAGCGAATACGAAATGTATCTATAATGTATGGAAGAAGGCCATTAGTCGATTACCTGACAATCACAGCAAATTGCATGGCAATTGAAAATTTAAAATTAGACGCGTTCAATGAAAATAGGAAGGCTGTCAAAAGGAGTGTGTCCAAAGAACACGCAAATGTAAAATGGAAATTGGAAAGCTCGCAGGATTCGGATTCGTCCATTTCTTATGATGCCATGCTGAAAATGGGAAAAGCGATGAGTGGGAAATAAGCGTAAATACACGCACATGTACTACTTATATTATGTATGTTTGTATGTGTATGTGTATGTGTGTGTGTGTGTGTGTGTGCACGTAGAGTTGGGACTGTGACAATAGCGAATAATAACAACAACAGCAAAAGCAACAACAACAACCGCAATGATGATGAATGCTGCCCTCTTTGCGTGCCATGCCAATGCTTTGCGACTTGGCTCTTTATTGTTATTGCTTTTCTTCTTCTTGCTGGCTATGCCTTAGTTTCTCGTTTCGTTTGTGCTTCTTCGTCTTTGCCTTATACTTTAGCCGCTACTTGTTCTAATTTTAGATCAGTGGAATAATTTTTATTGATTTCAAATTTTAACCTTATTTTACATGTTCGAGTTCGACATGAGGGTGTACTGTGTGTGTATGTGTGTGTGTGTGAATGTTTTTGCGTGTGCATGGAACAGCCTGGGTCTGGCCGAATGAAGCGCCGCCGATATGTTGCCACCTGCCTGCCACCTACATTTCCCTCTCCCACTGCTGGCAACAAAATACGGCAAATGTTTTACGATGACGCTATTGTTGAATTGCCGTTGCCGTGGCCGTCCTCATCTACAAGCCTGTATATACATAGTATGTGCTCGCATGTGTGTGTGAGTAAGTGAGTAAATACGCATAGAAGTGTGTGAGCGCCGCTCTTGCGCTCTTGCGCATTCCACTGTGGTGAATTCCTTCGGCTCCATTCGCTTAGAGAGCAAACAATAGTGCGGCATCGTCTCTGGGAACGTCCGCTTGCCTGACTTAATTCAACACGTTACTTGACTCTTGACACTCACTGTGGCGGTACTACTTGCGGTGACGGGTGAAGAGAGCGAGAGGGAGACGGAGACGGAGAGAGGGGGCGGACAGTGCGCCTGCATTGCAATGCAAGCAACTAGATAACGCCTAATGCTGATAACACGTCCGTTCGAATGACGGCCGCAGGCGTCAAGACATGAGCGACAACAATTGCATTATGGCTACGACGACTTGTACACGATTTCGTCATCAGAGAGGTAAAAAAATCGCCGCGAGCTGGAGCCAGAGTGTAACAGACACGGCCGGAAATGTGTCTATCACGGAGGAGCCGCTGAGAAGTATGCAACACCTAGTGGGTGTTTGTGCAACAAAGTGCAGCTTATGCTTCCTGCTTCCCGCACCGCCAACGACTAAATCAAATTTAAACCTGATATTCAATATGGCATGGAATGCTGCTATGCTGGGTCATAATGCAAAAGCTATCTAACGTACTTCCGACTTCGGATACGTCCAGGGTGCAAGTCATTGTCGCGCAGTGGGGCCTTCTGTCTTTTTTCGTTGCAAAAATTAGATCCATTGAACTGAAAAAGCTATTGTGTTAAAACAAATTTAGTTTGAAAGAGGAATTCTTAAGCAAATCAATGCAAACTGTGCTATGATTTCTATTAGCTGCACAATTTGTGGACAAAGTTAGATTTTGCTTCCAGTGCAATATTTGCCTAATAAAACTGCCAAAATTTATTTTTTTACATAAAGAAAACATTTTATGTACATTTCTTTTAAATAACATTCTTTTTAAATTTTAACTCTGCAGTCTTCGCTGAATATTCGCCATATTTAGATCCACAGATTTTTTCTTTGCAGCTGAAGAATTTCAAACTGCTGCCTAATCTTCTGGTAATGTTTATTTATTAAATTATGTTGATTTATTAAATAAAATAAAATAATTGTAGAAGACATTCAAAATGCTGCCCAATCTTTTGATTCTCACTATTATTTCGTTATTATCGAAGAACTATCGAGATAAGTTTCCAGCATTATGTTGATTTATTAAATTAAATAAAATAAATGTAGAAGACATTCAAACTGCTGCCTAATCTTTTGATAATGTCCATTCCTGCGATTCGTGCTGTTATTTCGTTATTATCGAAGAATTTCCGAGATGAGTTCCCATCATTTGTGTTGGCATATCCACGCGTCGTGGCCTGGCATTAGTCTAGTCTGGCGCCCAAGCACTTGCGGTCAATTCATGTTGACCAATGATGTTCACCAAATGGGCTTTGCTGCTTCTATTAGCACTTGACATTGCTTTTTTGCATGTGTTGTTGTTGCAGCTGTCGTCACTTAAATGGGCTTTCAAGCGACACACACACACACACACCCCCACACTTATGGGGAAGCACGCACATCCACTCGTACAGCCATTCAAGTAAACATTTGAATGGTCTTCCGGTCTGCTGATTCATTTAGCTTTCATTTAGCCGCTGTCCCTGTTGCTGTTGCTGTTGTTATTTCTCTTGTTTTTGATGTTGCCCATTCATAAAGCATCGTCTCCATGTGCATGCGTATGTGCACTTAACTTTTGAGCGTTTGTTGTTGTTTTTCTGTCACACAGTTGCAACCAAGCTGGGAAACGTGCTCTGCTCTATGACTATGACTGCCATGTCGCCGACGTATAAGCAGGGATTTGAATAGCCCGGCCCCCGCCACCGAACGCTAGACGCTGCCTTGCATGCGAAACTGTCAGCAGACAGTCGTGCACCGGTTTGTGCGCCTCGCTGTGGATGGGTGGGTGTCTATGTGTGTGTGTGTGTGTGTGTGCTCCTCTCATAACCGGCTGCTCGAGTGGCAATTTGCATGCGATTTGTTTTTTTCTAAATAGAAAAAAATTTACATAGACCTGCCATAATAAATGCTCGACATTTTCTCCAGCTACGAGTATTTGTTGATGTGCTTACAGCTACGTTTTTTCCTGGCTAAGATTTAGGTAAAAAGGTTAAGGATATGCAAGTAGGAAACATCTTATTTAAATGCATAAAATACTTGACAACAAATTTAAGAGACGACACAGTTAAATCAGTTGGGCTTTAACTTGGGCTCAGCAGGGCAGTTAAGTCTGAGACATAAGGCTGGCTATGTCGATCCGCTAGCCTATATACTTAAGTTGAAAGACGTGATCAGTTTGTGCAGTACTCAGATATATATATATATGCTAAGCAATATTGAGCTCTTTTATGTATATCCCTCCTCTCGCTTCAATCTATTATTAATGCTTGTGACATTTACAAATGATGTGAAAATAAGATCAGAAGTAAAAAAGACGTGGATGCGTAGACCATTGAAAGCCAAATTCAAGCGAAATTCTCACTATTTATGTACATTTATGTACATTTCGGGTTGCTGATATTGAATTGGACTTTCGATTACCCGAACAATTGCAAAGATGACTTGACATTACAATTTTTAGTTTTTTACTTTTGATTTTGTTATTTCTAAATCGATTGATATCTTTAAAAACAACTCGCTTTATTGAGTTGAAGCTAATGCGAGTCGGCTGTGTTTGAATGAGTAGAGATTTTTGTGTGACTGATGCTGATGTCCCCATCGCCATCGCCATCGCCATCGACCTCATCTGCATATGTATATTATGTTGTTCTCTTCTCAACTCTTCCACTTACAGATGCGCCGTCAATGCTGCACTCAAGCAGGCAATTCAATGAGTTTTACTTGAATTAGAGCAAACCCAAAGCCAATCAAAACGTGCATATCAATAGAGCCCATACCAAAAGCGAAGCAAGCAAGCAAAAAAAAAAAACCGCAATCAAATACGAGGCATTTAAAGAGCTTAAAGAACCAGAGAACCGAAAGAGCAAAACACAGAACACAGATTTTAGCGACAAATAGCTGCTCTCTGCCGCCGTAGTGTATGCATGCCGCGGATCAGCCGCGGATTATGTCACGTGACGATTATAATCCAGTGACTAGCTCTGGTGTGCGCAGCCCTGGTCGTGTGCGGCGACTACAGGAATTGCCAACGGTTGATCGTTCACCATCACGGGATTACGGCGCACGCGGAAGCCCTCTAGGTGAACACACGCTCACACACTTTCACCCACACCCTCACACTCTCACATGCTCAAACAGCTCCAAATTCAATATCAAGCTAATCAGGCCCAACCGTTCAATTTTTATTTGTCAAGTCCAGTCAGCAAACAGAGCACAAGCGTAGCCGTGCACTGGCACAAATCTGAATAATCGAGCAAACCTAACATTAAAGTTCAAGCTACGTTCATGCGATGCCTCCAAACAGTATCATCCAATTAAGCAGACCTTTAAATGCAAACAGATCAAAAATCAATCTGCAGATATTCGGGAATCGCGTAAACGTAGAATTGATATTAGTGTACTACTCTATTGTACTTGTATATGTCGCACTGCTCACGTTTGTGCGACGGGTTCCAGCAAAGACTTACCTTTATTAGTTAGTCTATGGTCGATTGGCAAGCATTTCTTTTCACTTTCCTATCTACTTGCATTGAATTGGACTTCTTGCGTACATTCGTTTTTTCTACTCTACTCAACTTACTCTACTGCTACCTGAAAAATTTGCTTTACTTGTTGCATGCAGATAACAATATTTATTCAAATGCCATGCAACAAGGGCGCTCTCGAGATTGGCCGACGGACGACAGACTTGGACCGATTTATACAAAATTGATTTTCAGTTTCTTATGCAAGCAAATACAAAAAATGTAAATCGAACACCTCATGAAATTCTATTCTACTATATGGAACATTTTCATTTCTGATAGCAAACTTGTACTACTAATGCAAATTTAACTAAAGTCTATAATTTTTGTCTAACATCACACGCATGCGCATGATACATTTGCTTTCGTTCCGCTTAACTCATGCAAATTTTTGCCTAACTTCATTATCTGTATCTGTTCTCCCTAATTTTGCTTTTCATCTAACTTGCGTATCATCTTGCGTTCGAACCACAAACACATCGACGACACCACAACAACAAAACGCTACAAACACAACAAAAACAACAACATAAAATACACATCCGCACTCATATCACATTGAAAAACAAATACTGAACACCATTCGTTTCGAATCGAAATCGAAATCAAATGAATTAGCCAATACAGCTAAATGCTTTTAAATTAGAAGCGCAAGACAATGGCATTTGGTTGAAACCAGCATCGGAAGCAACTTAAAGGTCGTGCTGAAGGGGCGCACGAACAATTAATTCAAGGGGAAGCGACAAATTAAAAGCCTCAAACTGGATTACAATTATGGTTAGCAAGACAGCCAGTCGCATATCACAACACATTATTCGAAACACAAGTCGTTCTAAGCCCAAAAGCCCTGGGATCCTCCTTTCAATTCACCCTTTCGTAACATTACTAGAAGATTAGTTAGAAAGTTAGGAGTTAGGAGAAGTGCATCCACAGCCGGTTTAAATGGCTTCTAGGTAGGTCCTACTCTACGGTACTCAGTTGGTTTCAAATGAGATAATGTTTTAGCTTTCCTACGTTTTGAATACACAATTCTCATTCAAGAAGCCTGAAAGCGGACCAAACTATCTAATTTTGAGTTTAGTTCCATTAGAAAGGTAATATAGTCGCTAATTAAACGGATGCTGGAAGATATGATTTCTCTTACTAATTTAGTTGAAATCGAAGAAGAATTGGGTAGATTTAGATCAGTTTATTGTCTTAAAAGAGTTGTTAATGCCTAGTATTTATATCAGCGATTTTTAATAGTTTATTCATAAAATATTGTATACTGGAAGTCGATTGTTTGCAAGCTTCGTAGATTAACGCAACAAGTTTTAGAACTACATATTTCGACATTTTTGTAGTATTGTCGTTTTAATTAGTAGTAGTTAATACTATACTATACTTTTGAAATATTACATTTTGTACTATATTGTTTTAGCTTACTCTGGATGGTGTAGGGGTATACAAGTATTGTTATTGCACGTTAGACTTAAAGTTAAACGTACATGAACATACATACGGGTTTATGATCAGAATGATAAGCCAAATCCAAGTCCGTCTGTTCCAATCACTACCCTTCCTTTAACTTGGCACCGTCGACTTATTGGGACGAACACAGATGTGGAGATACTATATATTTATCACAGAAACGATATATTTTAGAGAGGGGGCTTAAAGAACAATTTTGTTCTCATACAGAAATTATAATTGTGAAATTGAAAATGCAAAACACTGTCGTTTGTAAATACACCTAATACTGTTAGTGCACGGTAGATTGGTTCCAGAAGAGAAGTGTAAAAAATCCGTATTAAAAAAGACATTGATCACATTGAAATGCAAAAAATAGGTGATTGGTTCCTTATCTCTAAGCCTATTAAAATCAGTGAAAAAGCAAGGATTTATGTTTATTTTATTAAATCACATATGTATATAATGTGCATAACGGCCCTTATAAGAATGGTTTATAGCTGTTGTTAGCTGGGAATGTTTTTATTTATTTATTTTGTGTTACTTTAAATCGCTAAATGCTAAATGGAATAAAATCTTGAAAACATAAATTACATTTTTCATGTTCAAAAGACCATGTAAAAACAGAGTACAAGTAAGATGCATTAAATTTAATTAAATAAGAAATAATGATTAAGGGTTAAATATTAGGGTTTTTAGTGCTCTAAATATGTACTTTAATACCAATTGTAGCTTCAGAGATAAAGCGTTGAGGCAGAACATACAAAGAAACACACAAATTAGTCCAAAGGTAAAGGTCAGGTACGTAGGTAGTCGAATTTCGCGAGCAACTCAAGAACATAATGTTCATTTAATTAAAGCCAATAAGAATCCTATAGAAGTTTTCTTAAAGAACAAAGGTAGTGTAGGATTAATTCTTCAAAGTTTTCCTTTGCACCTCTGACCGTAGCTTTTGTCTGACAAAAACTGTCACTTCAGGCTTCGAATTTGCGTCTCAGTGTCTGACAATAGACCATAGGATATATAGTTTAAGTGTGTTTAGTGACTTTTAGCTTTCAGTTCGGCATTAAACTCTTCAACGTTATAGCCAATAATAAATTATACATACGTTTTGCTTAAATCGAAAGTTATGGCGATTGCTATTAACATTTTTAGTGAAGCCGCCTTCTAAATGGCATCCACCCAGGTAGCTACAGTTCTCCCGGAGTACAGCAAATGCCACTTTTGGGGCAAACTTTTGGCAGCATTTAGCACCAGCCGGTAGTCGTGCGCGCGAACTATCGAGCGAGTCATAAATTCAAACAAAAAGCGCTTAGCACATAAAATGGCCATAATATGGAGGCGGCCGGGCAGCTCATGTGACATGGTCAAATAAAACTCAATTAGGTGGTAGGGAAACGCGCACTTTGTGGCCAACTAATTAGCGTTTCAACTTTTCAGTTAAGCTCGGCCCACACTCAGGTGAAATTATGGTTATTATTGCCAACCATCCATTCATCTAGCCTGCCAGCCAGCCATTCAGCCTGCGCGTAGACATTGTTACCTAACTGATGGATGGCTGTTGGATGGGGGAAGGCTCAAGAGCGGGTTGCTTGCGGCTGCCAACAAATATGCAGGCAAATTTATGACTAATATGGAAACCAAAGAGCGTGAGTGACGTGCAAGGACATGGCAAAGAAGAACCGCAAATTAAGTTTCGTGTGCCGGCAAAATCCTCAAATTGCAGAATGGGGGGAGGGGGGGGGGGGGTGGTTTGGGGTCGAGACTCATGCAAAATGATTCCGTGCTAACAAAAGTTAGTTTATGGCACACTCTCGCCAGCAGACTGCCACTAGCCCACACACATGCCCCATGCCTAAATACTTGTACATACATACTTACAAGTATATAGTACGAGTAAATATATTTGTAGCTACCTGTAGTTGGGCGTGCACATAAAACCGTAACTAGCTAAAATATGAGAAGGTTAGCTATGGCAAAGGATAGTGTGAAGGGGGAAGGGCAGGAAGGGCAGGAAGGGCTCCAACATTGCCAACATTGTGCTTAGCTTATGTGCTTTTTATATCCCGCATACACCGTACAACAAGTACTCGTACATACAAGTAAAACAGAAATAACAAAAAAACACGACAAATCATTTTTCGTTTCTACTTTTGTTGATTTTTTGCATTACTTGCTTTCCTTACGTTTTGTTGACATTCTTTCAACACACCTTAATACTAACCCTTCTTTGGTTCGCCATTTGTGTACCCACACAGACACGATTTAGCGATTTAAAGCGAGGCGACAATCGCTAGACACGAATTAGCGCAACAAAGCAGAAATTCCAAAACGCAACTTCCTTCTACTGACTACTGTGCACTACTAGTTTCCACTACATAGTTCTATAGATCTCTTGATTTCTACTCAACCATTTCTGTTTATTCTTGTTTTTGGTTTCCGTTCTACTTCGTTTCTCTACACTCACGCACACCTATACACAAACACCCACCGAACACACACACACACACACACATGCTCGTACATGCAGAAGATCCACCAAAAACCGAACCCGTCATCCTCATTTGATCATCGTCATGAACTCTATGTGAATTTCAGCAATGGGCAGTCCATACTATCGCGACATGGATGAGCCCACAAGTCCTGCCGGGGCGGGACATCATCGCAGCCGCAGTGCCAGCAGACCACCGATGTCACACGCCATGGACTATCCAAGTAATATACGAAGACAGCGCTCGATGGCACTATCGCGTGCCAAATCCATTTTTAAATAACTCATTTCCCCTTTTGTTGCCCAGGAACCCGCTATCAATCGCTCGATCGAGGTGGACTGGTGGATCCACACGATCGTGAGTTCATACCCATACGGGAGCCTCGCGATCGCTCACGCGACAGATCACTAGAGAGGGGTCTGTACCTGGAGGACGAGCTCTATGGGCGGTCGGCGCGGCAGAGCCCCAGTGCTTTGGGAGGTAAATATAAGACTTCAAATTATTCGGATAATCAAAGCGAAGGATACTCTATGCTCACTATTCATCAAGCACTATTGAAATCTTTTAATTTTTATTAGCTTGTGTTTCAAAGAAAATCTAAAATTTAGATTAGATACTAACATGTTCATTCTTGCCAACTTATTATATTTTTCTGCGTTGTCTCCCAGGCTATAATACGGGCATGCCCACCTCAGATCGTGCGTATTTAGGAGATCTTCAGCATCAGAACACAGATCTGCAACGAGAGCTTGGCAACCTGAAGCGGGAGCTGGAGTTGACGAATCAAAAACTTGGTAGTTCCATGCATAGCATCAAGACCTTCTGGTCGCCCGAACTGAAAAAAGAGCGAGCATTGCGCAAGGAGGAGAGCGCCAAGTATAGTTTGATTAATGACCAGCTCAAGCTGCTCAGCACAGAGAACCAGGTGGGTGGAAACTATGAGTTTTATCAAAAGTACTGTTAAATAACAACAACTAAACTATTTATTTTTTATACGATTATGTAAAAATACACGTATTCGTTGTGCTAATACATTATTAATTACACGCTTCTATATTTTCAGAAACAAGCGATGCTCGTGCGGCAACTGGAAGAGGAGCTGCGGTTGCGCATGCGGCAGCCGAACCTGGAGATGCAGCAGCAAATGGAGCAGATCTATGCTGAGAACGATCATCTGCAACGGGAGATTAGCATATTGAGGGAGACGATCAAAGATCTAGAGTGTCGAGTTGAGACGCAAAAACAGACGCTAATAGCGCGTGATGAAAGCATTAAGAAATTGTTGGAGATGCTGCAAGCCAAAGGCATGGGTGAGTAGTGGAACCTTTTAAATCTGTTCCATTGATTTTCCCTCATTAATGAGTGTAGTACAACATACTAGATTTCACCAATTTTAATAAATCATTTAACTATGCAATGTGATTTGACTTCAAAAATGTGCCTTTCTTCTTCGTATGTATATTTTTAATAACAAATCTTGCATTCGTTATTCACATTCAACACTATAGCCAGAGCTGATTCTCGGCTTTCTTCGGCTAATAAACAAATGCAGATAATTTTTCTCTCAAAACGAATCATAATATTGCAAATAAAGTGCAAAATCAGAACAATATAGCCGTTATAAAGTGTGCACTCTTTGGACATAAAGTTTCCAAAAAAGTGTAGCATACTTATCTGCTGTGTCTTTATAGTCGAGTACTTGGAATGCCCAACTAGACAAGGAAATTTTCTTTTGGTGTGATTCTGAGCCTTCAGAGCAATTGCTAGGGTATTGTCGTGACCTTAGAGCGGTTTCACAATATGAAAGTCATGATATTAAACTTCTAATATAACACGTGTTAAAATATGGCACTTTCTAACTGATTTATTAAAGGTAATTTTTCCATTAGGTTATTAATCACAGATCTTGTTGGAGAACAGAACATAAATCCTACATATGTTCCAATCAAATAATGTTAAAATACACTTTCTTCACTTATTTCGATTCATAACTCATCGTAAAATATTTTGAACAAGTTAATAAAAAAGCTGATGACATCATTGAACCCTACTTAATAAGTTCCTCGTATACCATATATGAGCTTAGATTAGTTTTTATTTTACTGATGCAAAAACGGCAGAACATTTTAAAGAAAAGTCCAACAATTCTTTCATTGAAACATTTAAAACATTTTACAAGCTCTCGTATCTAACAAATATTACAAAGGAACTAATGCGATTTTTCCTTGGTTTTTCCTCGCCCTTGCAGGCAAAGAAGAGGAGCGTCAAATGTTCCAGCAAATGCAAGCAATGGCACAAAAACAGGTAAGTCGTTTGCCAGTTTTTTCATATCGCGTTTCCAACATGCGTCGCCGTCCTGCGCGCCGCCCTTAATTGCCAATCGACTCTCTCTCTCTCTCTCTTTAACTCTGTTTTGTTTTTGTTTGTTTGGCAACAATGCTCTTGAAAATGATTTCGTACACAAACAGAAATAATCCAGTACAAACAAACGAACATGAAAATTTCTTTTTTCATTATTTTCCATTCGAACCAAAAACAAAAGACTTTAAACAAGCAACAATAGCAAATGTGTTATCTGTGTTTTGTTTTCCCCCCAACGCAGCTAAACGCAAGCCTTTACTAAACGCTATATAATACAATATACAAGTACACCTACCACCTACCTGCCTTATAGATGTGCAAGATGGTGCCAGCACCAACACCAACACCAATATAACCATTTTTTTTATCCACCCAATAACTATCTGCTTCGTTTGCTTTGCTCAATTCCTTTAGTACAATTTCTGTGTTTTGTTTGCTAGCGTTATCGTTGGTCGTAGCATTTCTAGATTCGCTTTTGATTTTGATTATATATATAATAATGCACACACCTACTTCACATTTATTACATTAATGACAAAAAACACCATTACAGACCCATCTTAGTAGCAATTGATCAATTTATTCGTATTTGTGAAATGGAGAAACGTTCGCGACTAGTCTGATCGTCACTTACATATGAACATTATAATTCCTACATTCCTTTTCAATTCTTGTTCAGAGTTTGTATTTCAATGCGTAATTCCTATTGTAAAATGTTACTCCAGGTGTGGTTTCTCTACCAGAATATTGCGAGTTCGCCTAAAAACTTAACATCTGGTAGACAGATATTTGGGTTTTCTTTTAATTCTTTTAGTTAATAGGAAGTGGAAAGTACAGAATTCGAGAATAGGGGTAAATAGAAAGTATATAATACTGGAAATAGAAATAGCGATCTCCCTAAATTACTTATTAATAGAGGATTAAAGTAAGCGAAACAAGATTCAGATTTGCATTAGCAATTCATTTGCTTCGCATGGTTAATATCTGAACGAGCTGCCATTATTGTAATTAACATGCAGTGGAACAGACACAGACAGACAGACAGACAGACAGACACAAACACAAACACACACATCCACATGCTAACACATATTTGCACTTAAGTGTACACTCGCGTACATAAATATTAATAAGTACTTTCGTATTCATATACTTGTATGGGTATATATGACTACTTTGTCATATTAGTTTGCGATCGAGCGAAAACTCAGCTCTGCTTTTTGTCGTTTCTGCTGGTGTTTTCGTTCCTTAAATAATAACGCTTGGTGTTCTTTGGTTAGGTCTTGTGCCTTATTCACATCATGTCTCGATTATTAGTCATTTGGCCTACAAAGTGGTGCATCAGACAATGAAATGCAATTCGAGTCGCAACTGAGGCTTATGTGTTGCATACTGCCTAACATGAATATCAGGCGTCATGTCGAAACTGTTTGCAACACTTTCCTTATCTGCTCGTCCCCATTTGTTCTCTCAACAACAATGTGAGCTCTAGTTTTGTTATTTACGATTTGTTGGCATTTATGACAAATAAAATGCATTTATCTTTTCAAGCCTGCTGTGCTCCCAATTCCCAATTTTATATGGCCATAGAGTGTGAATAAAGGAAACTCCTGCTGCGTCTTTGTCGCCAGTTGGTTGCACTTTGAGGCGCTGTTGAAGGCAATTTCAAGCACTGTTCCTTGTTTATTTCTACCCCATGGGGAGGACGAGTAATCAAATATAAGCCAGAACTCGTTTCTGCTCCACTGCCCTATTGAAATAGCAACACATATCCCAGCTACTCATCCAACTAACACATAAGCCAGGATCTGGTATTAGTTTTGCTGTCATTTATTTATTTGATGTGCTGCTAGCACCATGACAATCAAACGTTAAATGAATAAGTCTACTATTTATAAATGCAATAGGTCTTTGCTTAACTATCCAATAATGTCTTTAACGCGTAACTGAAAAGATTTAGTAGATGTTACAAGTATAGCAGGAACATAAGAATAAGTTCTTATTTAAGTTATTGCTTATACTGTAAACGACAAATATTTGATGAACAATATAGGGCTGCTCTTAAGATCGAATGTATTTAGTGCAATGAATTAAGTAACTGATTAAAGCTTTGTGGATGTTTGAATAAGAATCCAACTGTAGAACAAGCAAATAGTATTTATAAAAAAAAGGAAAATACGTTTAACAATTGTAGAAGCTGGCAAATATTTATATTTACAACATTGAGGAACAGTGTGGACTTCAAACCAATACCAAATGGCAGACAAATTGCTTTGATTGCGCAACATGTAGTTCTTAAATTAAAAACATCATTTGGATTTAAAAGCAAGTATTTCACAAGCAATGCAAATGCGTTTTCTTCGAGTGTAGGCAGCTTTGCATATCAGTATGTGTATTTTTCGTGCCTTTGTTGCAAGTACGTCAACCCGTCTACACTTTATTATCAGGGGAAATTTGTATAAATTGCTTGCGACACACACGCAATGTCTATGCGTGTTGCCACTTGGCTGCATTGCTTGACTGCAATTTATCAGCAGCTCACTAGCTAGCTGCCTGCCTGCCTGCCTTGCTAGTTGTCCACTAGCAGGACTATTTGTGCAGACAGTCCTGCCAGGCCTGCAGTTGGTGGTGGCGCATTGAGGAGTCTCAAAGGACGCAGCAAACAAAACAGTGTACTTATTGCTGATAAAAGTTTGTAATTACGCATGCCTGCCCTTAGACAGTATGCTTAAGCACACACACACACACACATATATAGTATATGTATACATATAAAAATATATGGCCACACACTGCGTATACAGAATATCGAGCAGAAGCCAGAAGCTACTGTCGTGGGGCGCTTTATGTTCCCCACCATGGCCATGGAGTGACAACAAAAGCGTCGCCAATCCATGCAAAAGCAACACAACAAGCGGCAATACACACACACACACACACACACACACACGCACACACAGACATTAAGGCCTGAAGACGGACCGAGACAGGGCGACAATGTCCATTGGGTCACATAGTCGTAAATAACCTTCATGAAAAGTTTCATTTAAAGCTTCTTGGTGGCACAAATGGTTCTGCGACGGCGGCGGCCGGACAACGCATCGAGACGCCACTTACGTGCGAGTATAGTATACTTGTTTGTATAAGTATTGAGATTCTTGTACATCAAGTCCAATTTCCTTTCAGTGCATAAGCATGCCCAACATCCTTCGTCCTCTTGGCAATTTCTTCATTTCTTCATTTATGCGTGGGCCGGGCCGACAAACTAAAAATGATTCACAATGGAAATGTTGTTATGGTAGTTTCCACGACAAAATGTAACTTAATAAATAAAGAAATACGGAAAAGTAAGAGAGAAAAATGGGAAAAGTGAACAGTGAAAAGTGAAAAGCATGCCAGCACATGAAACGCCTACATTAAAGGGAGTGTGTGCGGCTTACCGATGCTTGAAATTAATTTGTCACTCAGGGGGAGGGACGGGGGATAGGCGGGCTGCGAGGCGGACAACAGTAATTAAAAATCGTCAGTTGAAAATGTAGCAAAAACCTCCTCTTTTTGTGCCCCGTTTTCCGTCGATTTCGATGGGCGGCATTGACCGGCGCATCGCCAGCAATTAAAAGTTGTAGCGCGTTGCGTATACGCCATGTTGCATCATTTTGAATGGCAAAAAAGAGCAGGAACCCGCTATTACATGCTGTTTTCGAGTGTGTTCGTGTGCATTCGTATGTGTGTGTGGATGTGTGTGTGGATGTATGTGTATGCGTGTGTAATAGTGTGTTGTAGGCAGCCACACGATTCGAGGTCACAGCGTTTTTCTCCAATTTCCACATTGGCACATGCTGTGTTCGGCCTAGTTTGTCCGAAGCCGAATACCAAAAAAAAATCCCCAATTTATTTTCTATGCCATCTACGCTAAAGTTTAATTAATGCTGCACCTATTTTATGTATCTGTATTTACAACAATGACGCATGTCTAAGCCAGGGAATAACATTTCTTTTTATTTGTTTTGCTTCATTTCTTTACAAAACTCGGCGAAGTTTAGTGGCAAAGTTTTATCAGATGTTTAATGTGAAAATATTTGCATGCTGCTTAATAGGCAATGGACGAAATTTTGAAAACTTTCGAAACTAATTCCATTTTACATTTCACACTCATCATCAGTTGTTAGCATAATTGTCCACAATTGCAGTAAGCCAGCTTTTGAACAGTATTTCATTTCTTTCTAGATTGAAAATAAACACGTATACTTGTTAAACATACATATTTGTATAGGCATATATATATATATAGACCTGTAAAATATATGTATTTTGGTTTGGAAAATTCTAGTGTGAGAAAATTAAGGATTTTCTTAATTCACATTTAAACATTCTTTCGCGTCAAGCGACTTTTCTTTGTGGAAATCTAATATTCCCATAGTTTTCCTAAATTCTTTCTATCCAAATATATTTAAAATAAATGTTTACTTCATTTCGTCTTTTTATTTATATTTTTGTATTTATTGCTTCAGCTATTAATTAATAAGTATTTACATTTCAAATTATTAATGGTATTTAGTATTTAGTTTTGTTTTAAGCTTTTTTTCCTTATATAGGCCGTCTTCTTAAGGTCAACAAATTAATAAATAAATCAATAATCTCATATTTTGTACAATATACTGCAAAAATCACATTATATAGTATACTGTACATTGATTTAGTTCGGTCATATATCGTTAGCAATGCTTTGGCTTATACAACTAAACTAAAAACTTGCACTTCACGATATTTCGTGTTAAGTTAAGCGATTGTATAATTTTGTGTATAAGCAGTTTGCTTCGTAGATCTTACTTATTTCCAGACTTCTGATAAGTATTCAGTTAATAATTTCATTCAGTAGTGTCGCGCTGCCATCTTCCAAATGAAACAATCAAATAAAACCTAAAATTAAGGTACAATTACCA